TTAAAATCAAATCTAAAACAGCTTCCCCTCCAGTACCTCTCTCAACCTTCTGAAATAAAAAATGGTCTCCAATGCAGTCCAAGAATTTATTGGATAATCTCTGCCCTGCTGTATTAGTTTCCCAACATATGTCCGGATAGCTGAAGTCCCCCATAGAACTGGAAGGGACCTCAAGAGATCATCGAGTCCAGTCCCCTGCCCTCATGGCAGGACCCAATACTGTCTAGACCATCCCTGACAGATGTCTATCTAACCTGTTCTTAAATATCTCCAGAGATGGAGATTCCACAATCTCCCTAGGCAACTTATTCCAGTGTTTAACCACCCTGACAGTTAGGAAGTTTTTCCTAATGTCCAACCTAAACCTCCCTTGCTGCAGTTTAAGTCCATTGCTTCTTGTCCTATCCTCAGAGGCCAAGGAGAACAATTTTTCTCCCTCCTCCTTGTGACACCTTTTTAGATACCTGAAAACCACTATCATGTCCCCTCTCAGTCTTCTCCTTTCCAAACTAGAATTCATAAACCACACTAATCATATAAACCGGCTGAGCTCTGAGGGGGTCTCAGAAATTTGGAATTCCCAAAGATGACAAGAAATTATTTCTGTCATTAGTTTTCCTCACTCCACATGGTGTCTCTTTTTCAACAAGTAACTAATTAGCTGTTGCAATTAGATATTAGATTGCTTTATTTGCTGTGCAACCACAAAAATGGGGGGGTGGGGAAGGGAGAGGTTTGAAACACTTGCAAAAGTGCTCAAGGGCCAGATTTATAATGGTATAATGAACCTGACTCCCTTTGGGAATCAATGTGACTCAGGCTCCTAACCAAGTCACTTTTGAAAAATGATATCTAGGCTCCTAAATCTCTTAGGGCTAGATATTTAATGGTATTTAGGTGCCTAACTAATGAAACTCTGGTCCTAAATGACATAGGAGCCTAAGTTCCATTTTCAAAAGTGACTTGGGCACTTGGGAGCCTTAGTCACGTTGACTTTCAGTTAAGTTTAGACTCTTAAATGCCTGGATCAATTTGAAAATGGGACTTTTACCTGTTATTTGCAAATGTAGTTATTTTTTACAAGAATTCTACTAGAGTATGTTAAAGTGGGCTAGCATCTCCCTATATTAGAAACTCAGGCAGGGCGGGATTAACTGTTCTGGGGTCTTGGGACTACTAGATTTTGTGGTGCCTCCTGTGCTCTAGAGCGGGGCCAAAATTAGGGGGTCAGTGTCTGGGAGGGGGCTGTGGTTGAGGCAGGAGGCTGGGTGTGGTGTGGAAGAGGGTGAGGGTTCTGTCTGGTGGTGTGGGCTCTGAGTGGGACTGGGAATAAGGTATTTGAGGTGCAGAGGGCTCCAGGCTGTAATCAAGGAGTTTGAACGTGGGAGGAGGCTCAGGGACGGAGGGTAAAAGTGCAGGATCAGGGCAGGAGTTCGGGTGCAGGAGGGGGCTCAGGGTTGGGGTGTGGAGTCTTGGAGGGACTTAGGGTGCAAGAGGGGGATGGAGCTACAGGGTCTGGGAGGGAGTTAGGATGTGAAAGGGGGCTGTGGCGGTAGGTTCGGTGGGGGTGCTTTCTGTTTGGTGGTAGTATGAAAGAGGTTGCTCCACGGGACCTACACTCACTTGCAGGCACGACCCCAAAAATTCCCAATGGCCAGGAATCGTGGCCAATGGGAGCTGTAAGGGGGAAAGAGAGGATGGAGTCTGTAGGCAAGGGCAGCACTGGGACAGACCTACCTAGTACAGTGCTTGTCACAGCGACATGGTGGGAGGAAGAGGATGGCGACTCCCGGAGCCGCCTTCCCCTTCTTGACGGACACAGCTGGCCCAGAACGCAGCCCCTAAAGCCACTTTTTAAATCTGGCCCTGGACTCAGCGACCCCAGAATATGGCACTTTCATTGTCCAACTAATAAAATAAAAAGAACATGCATGCCTTACCGTAAGTGTCTAATAAACAAGTAAATCAGAGGTCTTAGGACTGGGCAGGACCCCAAACTGGGATGTTTTCCGTTTGTTTATATTATCTTATTTCGCTTTCTTGTTGAAAACATCCCTGCTGGAAGGGCCTTGCAGACTACAACTGTATTTTGTGATGAGTCATTCGAACAGATTGCAGAGTCCACACTACAGAAGACAAACTTGCCAATCAGAGTCAAGGAAATGTCTGATTCATGTCACAAAACAGGGCTCCCCAGCTGATAGCTAAATGTACTTATTATATACTACAAAGAGAAAGAGAGAGTTACTAAGTAGTTATTATTATAACTGTGGCAAAATACCCCACAGAATCAAAAGGGAGTGTAGGAAGCACTTTTCTTTATAGCACACCCCTAGAAATTCTCTGCTCTATCAGATCTCTTTGTAGATACAAACACAAAGGCTCATTAGGAGACACTACTAAACATAAGGGTTTTCTTCAGTGAGTAGATTTGTAGATAGTAAGAACTGCTGTTAGCTGGTAGAACTATGAATAGGCAAATATGAATACTCATTTTTACTAGCTGCAAGCTGCTGCACTCCCAGGCCATGAATATGACAAACATCAATTTACTTAATAATTTGGGATGGCCTGTTTCTGTTATAGACAAATGTTTACTTTAGCTGGTGGGACCCATTAAAAGCAGATTATAAACATCCACTACTATTTCAACTCTTAAACTGTGTGTCTGGTTTGATGTAAACTTCTTTTCAACTCAGTGGAATGGACATTTAGTGTGTGTCTACACTGTACCCGAAGCTGGAAATTAGTTACGCAATTTGAGCTACGCAAATTGTGTAGCTTATTTCAAGTCAATTTCGAAATAGCAGGTTATTTCATAATTTGGCGCTATCTACACAGCACCACATTTCGAAATAACCTGCTATTCCAAAATGTCCCTTACTCCTTGTGAAATGACGTTTACAGGGACATCAGACTAGTGAGCCCTTTATATTTCGAAATAACCGGCTTGCTGTTAAGACACAGGATAGCTATTTTAGAACACCTCCGGTATCCTGAAATAGCGCTGCAGTGTATACGTAGCCTTGGAGACATTTCAAAAGCAGAGCTATAAAAATACCTCTTATTTTCAATTGATAAGAATACTTGAGCGGAAGAACATAAGGCACAGTATCAAGTTGTGGCACTATTTGACTATGATGAATAAGGGTGGTTAACAGATGCAACATATTCCTCTATTTTAGGAGGTAAGACATCAAGTTTGGGTCACTCCCTCTCTAGTGACAAGAGCCTTTTTTCATTGCATCCCACAGGAGCTAGTTCAGAACTTATTTGTATAGCTAATTTCGGCAATCTGGCAGGGGGATTTTAATGTCATAGAACCAAATTCAACCCTGGAATGACTTTTCTGAGTTTAGTTAACTTTTTTTTTATACTTGCTTACCATAGGACACATTCACTTCTGGTGGAAGTCATTAAAACACCTTCCACGGGCCTGCAAAATTACTAAGCTATCCAAAGCTTCCTGCAGCGATTCAAAATTCAAAGAGATCATCTCCCATGGGCCCCAGGCCTGCAATTGAATCTACATCAGCAAACTTTTCCATATGATTGGAACCGCATTAAGGTGAAAGAAGCACTATATTGCTGCAAAGGTCTGTCTGCGAGGATTTGTTGCAAGATTAGGATCTTGGATCTTTATTAAAGGATGTGTAATTTTATCTTAAACTGAGATATACATGGTCAGATTCATCCCTCATATAACGCCACTTATGTCACTGAAGTTACCTAAGGGGTGAACACACAAAAACTCATAGTACCAACTCATTAAGACTTATTTTGTTAGTTGTTCCACCCACCCAAAAAAAAAAAAAACAACAACTCAACCCCACATAGTTGTTCAAAACAGTGATGCATGCTTTTATACACAGAGGCTGTATCTAGACTAGAAAATCAGCCGCTTTTCCGGAAAAACTTGCCAGCTGTCTACACTGGCCGCTTGAATTTCTGGAAAAGCACTGACGATCTCATGTAAGATTGTCAGTGCTTTTCTGGAAATACTATGCTGCTCCCATTTGGGCAAAAGTCTTTTTCCAAAAGACTTTTGCGCAAAAGGGCCAGTGTAGACAGCACAGTACTGTTTTCCGCCAAAAAGCCCCGATCGCGAAAATGTCGATCGGGGCTTTTTTGCAGAAAACCGCGTCTAAATTGTCCACGGACGCTTTTCTGCAAAAAGTGCTTTTGCGGAAAAGCATCTTGCCAATCTAGATGCGCTTTTCCGAAAATGCTTTTAACGGAAAACTTTTCTGTTAAAAGCATTTTTGGAAAATCATGCCAGTGTTGACGTAGCCAGAAGGATTACAACTGTGTGTGTGCTAGCCTGTTCCCAACTAGTGAGAGAAGTGATGAACTCATAAAATCCCACATTGAGAGGACCTGAATTGGTATTTTCTCAATCTATTAAAATAAATGGGAGTGTTGCCAGATTAAAGACAGAAGTAAATTGAGGCAGGGCCTTGGGATTTTGACCACTGGCTGGATTTTAAGTACTGGAAGAGGTGTGTGTGTGGGGAGGGGGGCACTAATGAATGAATAGAAGCCAGCTGGTTGGTACCACTGAAAAAAAAAGGTTGTGTGCTTTTAGTATCATGACAAGAATAGAAAAATCATCGTCACTTATCTGATTGGGGCTTTATATGGCGCAGTTCCAGTCAACACAGTTTTACTTGCATGTCACTTGCAGGTCACTAGTTCAAATACTGAAAGTTATTACTGCTTCCCAGCTGTTTGGTGTCCTTTGTAAAATGAGCTGGTGGGCTCAGTCTAGCTTCTCACAGGCATTGTCAACAGAGCTAGTATTAACTGGGTTGGACAGGCTAGATGAGGTAAGAACAAGCTCAAAACCTGAACTGAAGTAAACAATCATGACTTGATCCAGCATAGAGCTCCAATTATATGAATGAGGCTCTATGGAAAATAACTGGAGTGTGTTTCTATGGAGCTTGTTTCTATGGAGTTTGTCAGAACCCTAACAGTTTGAAAATGTTCTCATGACACCTGAAATGTTTCCTGGCTGGCAACAGAGTAAGAACCATCTTCTCACATTATTTTGGTATGGCTGTTGTTCTGGCATGACTAGTTCTGGTCTTAGCACAACTTAGAGGGAAGGGAGAAACAAAATAAATATGGAAAAATTAACCATCCTTTTTCTTTTTAAACCCCAAAATAAGTTCCAGCCCATGTCAAGTTGTAGGTGAAAAATCACAGTGGTGGTTGTTCTATTAACTCCAAGCCAGAGATGTCCCAAAATGATGTTCTGGTTCAGAAATCCCCTTAAAACATCCAAATTTTGTCACAAGTCCTATAGTTTTGCAGTTGTCTGAACCAAAAATCTCACACTTGCATGGCTCTGATCTTTGGAGATTCTGAGCCATGTGACCTATTTTTTATTACTGTCCAGAAGACAAGACAGTGAGAGAAAAACAGAAGAGAGACTTTGAAAGATTTGGCTGTGCATAAAAAATAGACACACTGAATGGAATCTCCAAATTATACTGATTTGATTTTCTAGTTTGCTATAATGAAACATTTGTTTCTGAAAAATTGTGCTTTGATTTGCACTTGTGTATGTCAGAGTTAGTCTTAGTTTATTCTGGATTTATACTGTCGTAAAAGACTAGAATTTGTCCCTGTGTTACACAAAATATAGGTTAAATGTATTTAAAGCTGTTTTATCTCATATTACATTTACATTACAAAGAATATGCATTTTCAACAGTGGCTAATGAGCAACTTAAGATACCTTCAACAGGGACTGACTTTCCAGAAAGTGAAGTTGGTGAATAAGGCTGTGTCTAGACTGCAGGGTTTTTTCGAAAAAAGTAGCTTTTTTTCGAAAAAACTTCATCTGCATATAGACTACAGCCGCATTCTTTCGAAATTAAATCGAAAGAACGCGGCTTTTCTTTCGACAGCAGTACTCCTCATTTCACGAGGAAGAACGCCTTTTTTCGAAAGTGCTCTTTCGAAAAAAGGCATTCTTGAATGCAAACAGGGCTTTTTCGAAAGAGAGCATTCAGACTGCCTGGGTGCTCTCTTTCGAAAAAGTGGCTCACTTTTTTGAAAGAAGAGGTTGCAGTCTAGACGCTCTCTTTCGATTCTTTCGAAAAAGCCTCTTTCGAAAGAGGCTTGCAGTCTAGACATAGCCTAAGAGTTTAACCATGTAAAGATTAGTTTCCCAACAGTATTTCTTGCCCCTGTGTACAGTAGGGCTATAAGTGTATTCAAAACTCTATTCTTATTTCTCTGAAGTGGGGCTGGTAATCTGTGAATGATGTAAACCGTGTTTTGAAAGATCACTGTGACGGGGCTAGCCTGCCCCGCACTGAACAGGAGGGAGGAGAGCCCGTCTATGGGGTAGAATACACCCCTCCCCACAGCCCTGCTGGGCATGCTCTCAGTGCAGCCTCTATATAAAAGGCTGCCGGGCTGCTCAGTTGGGGTGGACCTCCGGGGAGGAAGGAGCTCTGGCCCAAGCCACAGAGCCGCAGCCGGACCTGCTGCTGGAACCAGAGCCGTGGGAACTGCCGCCATTGCTGCTACCGTCCCCGGGTTGAGCACGACCCCAATGCCGACTCCGGGGGGGCCGGCCGCCCCGCTGCACTGGACAACCCCTTCACTGCTGCCCCAGACATGGGACCTGCTGACATTGCTGCTGCCGCCAGCCCAGCATCACCAGGTGGGGCCTTCATCGGCCACAGGGCTGGGATAGGAAGCAACCCAGGGCAAGGGGCAGGGAACCCCCCAGTGGGCTCGGCATGTTTCGGGGAGAACTCCCCACCGATCTGGGGGTGGGAACCACCCACCACTACTAGGGCCCTGGGTTGGGGTCCGGTGGAGAGGGAGGGCCCAGACCCTCCTACCCCAACCCCTCAGGGCACAGACTAGGCCTCCGGGCCCGCAAATTGTGCTGGACTAGGCCTCAGGGCCTGCTTTGACTTCAGACTAGGCCTCAGGGCCGGCGATTGGGCAGAACTCGGCCTCCGGGCCTGCTTTAATCTCATGGAGGAGAGGGAGGGGGACCCCACCACAATCACCAAATAATATCTTCTCATTTCACATAGCTGGTAAACCACTTTTAAACTGTCAATAATTCAGTAAGTACTCCTTAAAGAGTTTGCTCTTAAAATGTCCACTCTTCAAAAGAATAATACAACATTCCCTTTGATAGTTTGATAACAGATACGTCTTCTTTTTGTGTTTTAATGTGGTTTGTACTGTAACTTACAAATTCATAAGTTGTTTATAAGAAGTCATAATAATTTGTGCCACCAAAGCAGCATTGTGCCGTGTCAATTAAATGTTGACAGCAGCAGTGATCAAATGGAGCAGGATCTGAAACTGATTTAATCTGGAGATGAATTTGACTCAAACTGTCTTTTTCAGTTAAGGAAGGGGAAATGCCGCAAAGAGTTCAATCTACAGTTGCATTAGAAAGAAAGAAAGTAAGAAGGAAGGTCTAATTTGCAATACTCACTCCACTTGTATCGTCTCATTATACTCTCTCTGGCTTGCACCTACCCTGTAGCTTTACAGCAGCCTTTGATTCCCCAATTCCACTATGCTCTGTTCCCAGTGGAGACCTCTGTAACACTCCAGTAGCAGAGTCTTTCTTTTTTCTTCATAATCTCCATATCAGATGCGCATTGGGGCAGAGGAATTGTCTCTGCTTCCCATCCGGGTGATCTCTCCATCAGACTTGTACCAGTGCATCCTAAAAGCACTCTACAGAGCTCCCTAGGAACCAATTCTGCCCTGCACTTTATCCTGTAGTTTAGATCTGGTGCAGCCTTCCGGATGCTTTGCTTTCCTGTCTTTTCAAGTGCTCTGCTCCCAGTCCCCAGACCTTCCTCCAAATTTAGTAGAGAGAGGTATAAACCTGAACCAAAATGTGAACATCCCTCAGCCTTTGGGGGACTATTTGGAATCAACTGGGGAACCAAATTTTGTATCTCAGGCCAAGTGTGCGCAGTAGGACTACTCATATACTTAACATTCAGCCCCAAGTAATACTTACCTGAATCTGGGGCTATAGAAGAACCTCTTCTGCTTCCCTCCCCCCATGCTTTGATCTCTGACCTGGTCTACATGGGCAGGTTACAGTGCAGTAAATCAGCTCACAGTGCTTGCAATTCCACACTGGCAAGACATTTAGTCCACAGCTACTGCAATCTAGGTAAATAACCTCCACAAGAAGCGTAGAGCTTGCTGTGCTCTGGATGCAGCACTGGGGTGCCAGTGTGGATGCCGTGGTGTATTACAGCCCTGTGACAGGCCTCCGGTACCTGACCCACAATGCCTGTTCTGGTCTCCCTTGTCATTAGTCTGAACTCTAGTCCCCTGCCCTCAATGTGACCAACCCTCAGACCTGCCCTTCATATTCCTTTTTGCTCGGAGATGTGTGGATTGCTCTCAGTGCATCTTTTCATGTTATCCCCTACTTGGAGTCATGCTGAGATGCTAGACCTTATCAGCATTTGGAGAGAGGAGGCAGTCCAGTCCCAGCTGCGCACAGCCATAGGGCAGATCTCAAGATGCATGACCAAAAGGAGCCAAGGCAGGACACCATGCAGTGCAGGGTCAGAAGAATGAAGGAGCTGCGAAATGTCTACCACAAGCTGTGGGAGGCAAAAAGCTGCCCCAATGCTGTGTTCACAACTTACTGGTTCTACAAAGAGCCTGATGAAATACTTGGGGCAACCCCGTCTCCGTTCTGAAGACCCTCATGGAAACTTAGAGGCCTCAGAGGCCATGCCAGAGTGGACTAAGCCAGATGGAGAAAATCCTGGAGAAGAGTGCCGGGGGGCAAAGGGACCCAGAGCCAGAGGACAGATCAGCATCCACATGCAGTCAGAGGCTATTTTCCACCCTAAAGGAGGCTGGCTAGTGACAACTGGCAGAGGTTGGGGAAGCACACACAACAGAGAATACACTTGATAAGTGGGTTTGATGTCTGGAAGTGCTGAAGTGAGTTGTTGGAAGTGGGCAGGGGAGCCAACAGCCTCTGCGGGACCCGGGGTCAGGAGTGTGTGGGAGGCCCAGCTCCAAGCTCCTGGAAGGGGCAGAGGCAGGGGCAGCCAGCCTTCAGCGCTGCTCACACTGCAGCGGGGGCCCCCTCTAGCCCTCAGTGCTGCCCGGCGTGCCTGGCACAGCACTCCAGCAGTGATTTAAAGGGCCAGGACTCGGGCCACTGCTGCTGCTGCAGTAGCAACAGCAATGGCCAGGAGTGCCAGGCCCCTGGAAAATTGGCCCCTTTGCCCCCCTTGTTGGTGAATCTGGGAACGAGAGGGTTGCAAAACGCAGGCTTGGTCCGTGCGCTGCTAGTACCGACACAGGGCTAGTCAGATGTGGAATAGGCTATTGATGGACTCTTGTTTCATGATAATCAAGCATCTCACAAATGTGTGGTGCAGATGCTGGGCCATTTGCCTCCATAGGTTCCATGGCAGAGCTGCTGTGTTCATTGTCTCAGTAAGGGCCATATTCCCATGTGGGGGGGACCATTGCTGTACACAGGTAAGCTGCATAAGAGCCAGGATGGAAGCTGCAGTCTTGCAGAAGACCTTTCCTTGCATTGCTTCTCACCCTCAGCAGCGAAATATCTTCCAGAATAAGCGCAGCCTCTGGAAAATGTATGATTACGAATTATGGGGGCCTCGTGCAGTGTGGACACTACTCAATACGCATGTGTACAGACAAGAGTACGGCCCTGCTTCAGTGAAATCCCCTGTCTCAGTGGTTAACTCACCGTTTTGGGGGTCTTGTGTGCTCATCCTGCCTCCCCATAAACTGCAGGCAAGTCATGCTGCATTTGTGTTCTATGTTTGCTGTTTTTAATAAATGAAATTTCTGGCTTTGAAAGCCATCTTTACTCCAATACATGAAAACAAGCAAGCACCAAACCCCACCAAAGCAACAGACATTGTACTAAGTTCATTGTAGGGACCAATCACAGTCTCCCACTAGCATTGCAGCCACTGCACTCCTATGCCTTGCACTTTTATTACTGGCTTTCACCATCAAATTGCTTCCTCAAAGCATCCCTGATCCTTA